CTTTCGTGCGGCTGCGCTCGGTCATGGATTGGCACGTCCTCACGTCTGCTTCGGGACCCCTGCCGTGCGCACCCTAAGCGTTCTGCAGGCGTCGCCGATGGGCGTTTCTGGTGGTGTCAAATCCCCTAGCGCACCTCACTGTTCGTATTGAGAGACGGATGGTGATTTTCGAGTCATTCTATCAGCCATAAAGCCGTCCAGCTTTTTAGGAAGTGGCTCTGTCCCTTCTCAACCACCTCCTTGGTGGAGTTAGCATGGGGGATTTCCAGAAAAGTTGGCAGGCGTTATGCACTCATTGGCTCAAGCACCGAAGGTTGACCGTTTGGTGTCAGAGAGTGTGTTCACGGGGGACGTCCCGTGGGGCCCACTGAATTCCTGAGGCCACAGGCGCAGCGAGGGGCTGCTCTCGACTCCCAGGTCCCACGTCCTCCCAGGCTGGGCATGAGACGCAAGGGGGTGCATCCCAACTCCGGCCCCTTGGTCATCTAAGCCTGCCCTTCGCAGCCAAGGAGACGGGGCCTGAGGACATGCTCGCCCCCGGGTGCTCGGATGCCCGCAGCTTGCCTTCTTCTTCTAAAGTTCCCTGGGCTGTTACTGTGGGCATCAGAGAGGGGGTTTCAGGTGTCTGCTCCCCAAATTCCGGCAGGCCATTATACTCGATCGGAGTGGAGTGCTGTGGGTGGGCGGAGTGAGTGTGTGTCACGATGACAGTCCCATCCCGGGAGCCTTTGCTCTGACCGCTTAGCTGCTACCCAGAGCTGCCCCAGGCTGTGCATCTTCTGCTCCTTGAGTTTCTAAAGATTTGACAGCGTTTCTGTTTTCCCTGAGAAAGCTCGCACGTGAATACTCACAGCTAACTTTAAAAAGAATATGACGCTCAAGATGCGGTCATCATGGAATGCCTGTCCTCCCAGGGCTCGGACAGAGAACGTTTAGCCGATGACAGAGTCCGCCTTCTGTAAAGCGACAGCAGGAGACGGTTGCGTTTCCGATTTGCTAAACGGGACCCGCGTTGAGGTCGAGGGTAGAATTGAGAGGTGACAGTTGCCCACGGAGAAGGAAAGGTTTGTTTTGGGAGCAAACATTCAGGAAAGACGACGACATTCTTCACCTTGTGACATCACAGACGGCGTGTCTTTGGAGCACGTGTGGTCTGGGGAGGATGGGTTTCAAGAATGCTTCAGCAGAAACGGGCGTGAGGACGGAGGAAGGTTCTAGGGAGGGATGTGAACGGTCCAGCACGTGCCAGCGTTGTTCACGTCTCTGTCTCTCTCCTTGCCCTTTGCAGGAAGATGAAGATCCTTTTGCCTCTGCTGTTCTTCCTGGGGGAGGCCCGCAGCCGTGCAGCGTCAAGGCCCAACTTCGTCCTGCTGATGGCCGACGACCTTGGCATCGGAGATCCTGGCTGCTATGGAAACAAGACCCTCAGGTGAGCTGATGCGGCCACTGCGCAAACACAGGGCGCCGGTCACAGGCCGTTGTTGCCGTTTAAAACTCTCTAAGCTGCCCACGTCCATGGGAACCAGACTGAGGGACAGAGGAGGGCGTCTGTATCCCAAGCCCCCTGCGTAAAACTGACTCGACTGAAGAAATGGCGGAAGGGCCCTTCGGTTTAAAAACTGAACTCGGTCCTGGCCCAGGGGACTATCGACATGAGCATCGCACTTGCTCTGTAATCATAGAAGAATGATGACAGGAAATGGTGCGGTGGAGAGCTTTGCCTCACAAAGCATCAGTACCAACCGAAGTCAACCAGAGGATGGGGAGAGAGATCCTTTGCTTTCACTAGAATGTTCTCATAAGGTCTGCGGTACTGAATGTATACGGGGCTTGGGGACAGACGCGTCGCTAAGTGCCACGGAAACCTGATTTATTGCCATGCCGGGCCCTCTGCATCCCCTGTTCTTCTCGGGGTGACGATGCTTCTCGGAAAGTGTGTGTAATCATCGCACGTCAGATCGAACAGAAGTGAAATTATTCTTTTGAGGAAAAAAACTGCCTGCAAGACGGCTGGGTGCATTTCTGTCCCAGCCTGAACCTTTCCATCCGGTGTTGCTCGTTGTTTTAAAAATGTGTGACATCGGTTAGATTTCTACACACGTGTACAGAAATGAAGTCTGCACCTTAACATTCTCTTAAAATTTTAATTGGCTGCGAATGTTTCTTTACCCACCTTTTGCCCCATTTTATAAGAAGTTTAGATCTCACTTTTTGCTCTCTGTGACACAGACCTTGTTAGTAACTTAATTTTTTAATTGGGATCATAATTTTCATGTTTGGTCTATGCATTATTTGTAATACCCTGTTAGATAGAACGCTAACAATGCTCAATGTAATATTTATATAATGTTAGAATAGTCATAGAGTTTATTTACGGAGACCGTGAGGTAACTATTCCTACGAAGCTGTCTTAATTAAAAAAATAATTCCAATCGAGCCTTTAAGGTTTAGTTTCTACAGATTATCAAAAGGAAAAAGAAAAGTCTATAAAACTCCCAAAGAAGAATTCAAGTCAAGACTTACCCTAAATATCCCTTGCGCTTTATAGTCAATCGTAGTTCTTTCTGATTTATGTTTTCGCTTTACATTTTCTAATATCGCACCCACCTGTGCCAGATTTCTTTCTCTACGGGCTGGCATAGGTATCAGGAGGTTCAAGTCGAATTTACAGTTTGTGGCTTCTAAGCATCTGGTAATTCTACGCAAAGAAACCAAAGTGGGACTGTGGACGATGCGTTGCGTAAACTGAGCTCGTAGATGGGAGACCAGTTTGCATTAC